GCAAAGTCCAAAATCTGATAACAGACAGACAACAAATCTGCTCTTCTAGGAAAGAAAAATCAGGGGAGAAAAATACAGAAATAGCATTGCCTGGGCATACAGTAAGATAAAAACACCTAAAAATGTAATAAATAAAAAAAATAGAGAAATGTAGAACATTAATTACACGGAACATGTTATATGCAGCCTAAGACTGAAAGAAGGAAATTGTTTTGTAACTTTAACAGTTTCTTAGTATCTATTGGAAGCAGACTTGCTTAGAAAACTAGCCTGCTAAATACTGTACTGAATTGCTCATATGTCTGTATCAATATTTCCTGTATATACAGGCAAAGAAAATGAAAATTATGTGTCCTGTTAAGATTAGTAATTAAATACTAAAATGTTCAGCAAATATAGTGAAGAGTTCACACTGCTTGTGAAGGATTTAGTTAATTGACTCATAAGCACAATGCTAACTACTTCTGAAGTTTGTTGATTTTCTTTTATATTTTAATGCAAAACCAATTTGTTAAGATTTATGTCTTAAAGTAGCCCAGCAAATCACTAACTACATAAACCTTCTAAAACTTTTGAAGGAAAATCCTTAAAGGAAAATGTGCCTGAAGCTGCAGGACAGGTATTTCTCTGAAACACAGCTGACAGTTGGTCAAACTAGCAAATATCCCAATACTAGAAAACAAGGCAACTAAACATTTTTTAAAAAGAGAGAGAGAAAGAAGAAGAAACATGCTCAGAAATACACTGCTACAGTACAAAGACTGACACAGCAATAGTCAAACTGCTAACCACGGTTATAACCCAGGTTCGTATCGGTATGTACAATGCCAGAGAGCTGTCTGAGTTGATAAATCAGATTCTATCCTTTTAAAGATGTTTCTTGCTACCCCTTGCCTATAATAGTACAGTTCTTTACTTATTCAGAGCATGAATCCTCCTTTACTCAGATCCTGTCCCTTTTGGCTCTGTACATCTCCTGGGAGTGCAGAATGATTCAGTCGTAACTTAGTCTTTTGCGCACTGTACAAGATTATTTTACTGAAGAGGGAAAAAAATAAAGGCTGTCCTTATCAGTGGAACACTGTGTGTTAAAGATAATAAAAGCATCAACAATCCATCTATTTCATGTTTAATTAGCCCCTCTTTCATCATAATTTGTTACTGAAGGTCAAATGTGGGGCACTTTTGAAAACTAATTGTGAAGTATTTAATATAAAGCAAACTGGGAACAGAAAATTGAAATATACTTCTGTACACTTTGCACCAAACAGTATTAAAGTTAAATGCATGAAAGAAGTTGCCAATGTAAATGTTTATACTTAATGACAATGTTCCCATTTTTTTCTCTACATTGCACTTAGTGCTACCATAACATTGTTATTTTTATGCTTATTATACTGTAGAACATTTGCTTAGCTGAAAGTTGTAAAAAACTTTATTCTTGAGAGTTGCTTTGTGATTATAAAAAGCAGCCTTTGAGATAAGTCTCTGTGTGTATGTGGGTGTCCGTAAATAAGCAAGAAGAAAGATGATGCTTTCCCTCATGGTTAACCTGATTGCCCCCTTAATGGATGAATTTTGGATCCTATTAAGGCTGCTGGTTATACGTGCATATTTATGAGGAAATTGACCCATTTAGTTCATAGATACAGTTCACATACATGATAACCAACTAGTCAAAATGCTTCTACATTGTAACAGACTGATTAATGTTTGAAATGGTATGAAACAAATGAACCAGCTACTGTACAAAAAATTTTTTCAAAAATTAATTTCTACATATTTCACTTTCATGGAAATAAGACTTTAAAGGAAATGCATCTAATTTTGACTAGGGTGTTCAGCACACTCTGGTATGATAAACATTTTTCTTCACTAAACAGTACATTTCCAATGAGAAAAGGCATAGGGATAATTCATAAAGGATTACAGAGTTGGCCAGGAAGCCAATACCTCAAGCAAAGAAATAATGCTGCTCCAAAATTCCTGTACTGGTTCTGCTAATTCTACCGATGGTGACAAATATCTCTTAAAAAAACCCAAGGAAACAAACAAACAAACCAAAACAAAAACAAAACCAACACCACCGCAACTGCAGTGTTTTAAGTAATCAGTAATCATTGTTTGTTGAGCAGAGCAAGTAAAAAAGAAACCAAGAGAATATGATGGCCAAAAAATGTAAACCTGTAAACAGGGTTTAAAAGGCCTGTTCTTCAAACAATGGTTGTTAACATGCTAATCTCATATTTGTGATTAAAAGTTTCAGTGAAATAAACCTGCTAATATGCCACTATTTTGAACTGTGAAACAAGGTAGAGAAAACAGCATTTATTATAAAGATATATCTGTAACTAACATGAGAAAATAAACAATTATTTACAATTAAAATCTGTTATTAGAATTATGATTAAGGATGCAACCCTCCAAGCTGCTAAGTGATTCCTCTTAAGCACTGAGCTTTCCCTATCTTTGCTGGAAGTTAGTAGTATCTGGACTCTTCACAGGCAATGTGCAGCACCTGGAGGGTTCCAATTTTAAATCTGTGATCCAGAAAAACACTTAAGCTCATCCCCATTCAGCAAAACACTTCTGTACAGCTTTAACTTTTGGCAAGTGATTAAGACCTACGGAATACTAAGTGATTTAAGCATTTGTTTGCCATTAAGTAGATATGTTAGTGATTTCCTGAATAGGAGAGAATTGATAAACAGGAGGCCAAAAGAATATTTCAGAGTAATACCATGCTAAATAAGACAAGAATAGGAGTCAAACTTGTGAAAGATCTTCTAAAAAAAGCGACAGAGAAATGTCAGAAGTCTACTGAATACAGAATTTAGTTTTAAACTTTATATAAAACACCTGACATAAGAAGGAGGAGAGTTACAAATTGTTTGTAGTTTTCTCCACTGAAGTTCTCCTAACAGTACTGTATCAAACAACATGTATTTGGAAAGTCATATAAGAAATTCAATGCATTACCTTAAAAAGGAAGTATCAAATCATCAGAATGAAAACAACTTGTATTCACTGGGGTACACCAGTCGGTCATGTAAGTAGAGACTTTATTTCCTGACTGCTATATTATAGATATATGTAAGTATCAATTACCAATTCTAATTACACTAATGGGAAATTAGTATTGCTCTCATCTCCAGTAACTTAGAGCAGGTACTTTCTGCTGTGTCCATTTATTTGTTCTAAAACTTTATACACCTTCTAATGTCTCCTTAGAACAAAGGGAACTGCCAATCAGCAAATAAGGGCAGCCTTAAAGATTTCAACGAGTCTCCCTACCATAGTCATGTCAATATGCCACTGGTTCTATTTCACTTTTACAGATGAACTACGAAACAATCTGATATACACCACATCTGCAACTGCTTCACCTTTCTCTCTAACAACGTGATGAACAAGAGCTCCACGTGGTTTGGGTGTTAAAAATCCTCATGTGTTTTGCCTGATAAACTGAGAAATGCTCCACTGTCAGTGTTTGAGATGTGAAGAGTCTACATATTGTTTATGCAAATGTCTTAATGTCCCCACTATTATGCAAAAGCATGAACAAAACTATGTAAATGCCACTCAGCAACAAGCTGGCAAGTACCCATAGGAAGGCGGTAACAGAAGTTTTGTGCCTGAGTCTCTCCTATAAAGTCTGTTGTTTAGCAGAACTTTTACTGTTTTCTTGGACACTCTAACTTAGGTGCATGCTTTACAAGTATGCAAATACTGTCTACATATTTAAAAATAAAAAGAAAAGGCATTAGAATATTGGCTATAAACTACTCGGGTAAACTAACCTTCATAGTAAACTAAATATTTAGCACAGGAAAACTATCGACACTGAGGAATTGGTTTTGTACTAGATAAATAATGGAGCAATTCAGCATGTATTTCTTTCGGTTTGATTGATGCAAGTAAAAGTGTAATAAAGCCATTTTCTTCTGCTAAAAAGTCTTCTAATGTATATCAAAATACATCCTTGAAAAATGTTAATTCAAAACATATTTCTGTAATATAATCTTAAATAAGTTTTTTATCAAGCAAAATAGTCATTTGTGTGGTGTAATCCTTTACCATCCCTACACTTAGCGTGCAAGTCATTCTTTTACACTGAAAATAAATTACACTTTGTCAGTTTATAATTCATATGTTTAGATGAATTGCAGCAGCAAGAGAGAAGTAGTATCTGATTAGCATAGGTACCACTGCTAGTTTGTTGTTCCAGTGTTCACGAGAACGGCATAATCTACTATGTGCTTAATAAGCCTTAGTAGATGGAAGCTTAGGAACTTTCTTAGTACTTTGTATTTCATACAGACTATTTTCAAACTGAAATTGTAATGTTCTCTGCAGGAAAGAGCTAATGAAATGTATCACCCAGAAACTACTGTCAAACGTTCTATAAATCAGTATCACTTGTAAAACAACATACACAAAAATACTGGCAGATAGTACATCAATCACACTTTTTTTGGTGATCTGGAAGACTGAGTGGCTCATATAATTCGTTTTCTTTTACAGTATTTTGAGTATTTCTGAGCAGAATGCAAATACTGGCAACACATTGTAAAACTTCAGTTGTAGTAGACTAGCAGACGTTTCAAAGTATAAAAAAATGTCAGTGTACCATATTTCCATGTTAATAAGTTGAAAAGAAAGCATTTTTGTCAAACTAGTCAGAATTTCCCTGTTCCAGACTTGGCTCTGTATTTACATGAATCAGCATTCATTTATCTCTAGATTCTTGTATAACATGCACTGTAGCTGAGGAAACATTCAGAATATTATCTTACGTGGAAAGATGTAATGGAAATCACCAGGTGTTAAGCATCTCATTCTCCCATCACGCAAAAAGCACTCCCCCAAAAGAAAAGTGACCTCTGTTTAGGCTACATATGTGTCTTATAAAATAAACAAAACAGACACTTAGGAGCTTGATTCTCCTCCGTGCTATCCTTATTTTAAGGCCTGTAAAGAAGTCCCTACCATCACCAGTTTTAGGCTATCGGAGCTTCACTGAACCGATCTCCACCAACACAGCCGAGATCAGAGCCAGTCGCTTTGTGGCACTCCTGAAGGCACACCTCGCTCTGAGAGGTCTCGCGGCAGTCACACTCTCTACAGTCAGAGCTATGCAGCAGCTGGGCTGGCAAATTAGGGCCTCTCAGCTTGAATGAGTGAATTTCATGGGATGTACAAGGGGAAAAAAAAGGCAATGAAAACATACTGGGGTGCGATTCTAAGCTCACTAACATTTATGTGTCTTCAGAGCAACTGCTGCAATGAGTGCAGTCTCTGTGGTGTAAATTAGACCACAGATAGACTTTGTAGATTATTTAAGCATTTCGGTCCTAATGAACGACCTGGTAATTACAGCCATTAACGCCTCAGCGCTGCGGCTGCAAATCCACTCTCACCCAGAGCTTTGGGAAGCGTCAGGCAGGCAGCAACCCCCTTTCCCCAAAACACCTGGCTACCGAGGGGAAACTTTCCCCTTCAGCCGGAGCTCACTGTCCCTAAGGCTGGGAAAGCATCACGGCGGGGGGGGCGCCCGCTGCGAGCGGGAT